AGGCATAAACCGTCTCAGCCTCCTGGAGGCAAGCTGGTAGCTAAGCTGAGGGAGGGGCAGCCCTGTTAAGTCATGAAGATTCCCTTTCAGGAAAAGCCGGATGTCACCCTTGGTGTTTCTTCTGCTTTTGGTCGCCTCCAAACCTTCAGCAAAGCTCTGTTTGAAGCAGCAGTCTGGTCTCACTCACAGTATGGAGAATTAAACTCTTGCTCCTGTTTTACAATGGAGGAGCAGAGGGGGAAATCTCATCAAGAATAGAGTGGTTGTAGCAGTACACAAGGTGGAGTGCAGTGGAGCACAGGCCATGGCAAAGATGCTGCAGTGGAAGAACTGGGACTTCCCAAGAGCGTGGTCAAGAATGTCCGGGAAGGATGCTCCGGGGAGTCTCTGAGTGGGACTCAGGGCCTGTTCCATCCCTGTGCTAGTCACAGGAGGCTCCAGTCATCAGAACTAGAGTATTGAAAAATAGACCTGAATTCAAATTCACTAGCTGGAGCCAGGTGTGGTGGTGCACGCCTGAAATCCCAGCACTCAGGAGGCTGAGGCAGGAGGATTGCTGCAAATTTGAGACCAGCCTGGGCTACTGAGTTCCAGGTCAGTCTCAACTACATAGTGAGACCCTGTCTTCAAAACAAACAAACAAACAAATTCACTGGCTGGAGAGACCTGGCATAGGACATTCTGGAGCCACAATTCTCAGGCATGCCCACAAATTACCCCTGCCATATTTCTGGGGGGTTGGAGAGTAACATAAACAGTTTAGAAATCTAAAGGGTAAAAGGGCTTAAGCCCCGGTCTTTCTCCCCATGGCAAAAAGGTGTGGTTTCTTCAGCATATAAATCTTGAAGAAGACTCTTTTTGTTAATGCCCACACTGTCTTCTTTAAAAATGCTTTGAGATTGTATCTACTACCTTCTCTCTCTTTGCTAGAGCCAATTTGTAACATTATGTCCTTTTGTCCCTACATAATTCCATATGCATTAAAAATCAGGACATTTTCCTCACACAGCTATATACTACTGTCATTTCTTAAAAAAAAGGATCGCTCTCTTGATATCATCTAATATCCAGTCTATGTTCAAATGTTCGTGATTGACCTGTGTGCTGTACTGGAGACTGAAACCAGTACCGTACCTCACATGCTAGGTGAGCACTCTACCTCTGAGTTACATCCTCAGCCCTTTCTTTCTCTTTTCTTTCCTCCTTTCCCCTCCATTCCTGCTCTTCTTTCTTTCTGAGACAGGATCTTACTGAATTGTTCACGCTGGCCTTGAACTTGCAGTCCTCTTGCCTCAGCCTCCAGAGTAGCCGGGATTACGGGCGTGCCCTACCACATATGTTTCACATGCACTTCTTAACCTCATCATCACATAAAGAGGAATTCTTCCTGTTTTTTTAAAACAGCTATAAAGCAAGCATTTTTATGTCAGACTTTGGCGGCTGATTTTTTTTCTTACCTCTTCATTTTGCAATAGCTGTGCAAGTATGGATTATTTCTTTTGAATCTCAGTTTTGGCTATATTTAGGTTTCTAAATGACATATTCCTAGGGGACTCATTCTACCCTTCCCTACATCCCACACACTTCCTCTGGCCTACTAAATGCATCAATTACGCTACTGACCTGCTAGATTTACAAGGCTTTTGCAACGCGAGAATTGCCTTTCCTGTGCATTTTCTGTGGTCATCTTGGGCAGGGCTTGGGGAAGGACCTGCACTCCAGGGTAAAGGTGGTCCTAAGCTGATAGGGTTAGGGAGCAGAGGCAGGAGGAGGTGAGGAAGACTGACCAGGGCAAGTCTGAGGAGCACAGGGAAGAGTCTCTCTTACTTTCTGCTTTATTTCTTAAACAAAACAAAAGAAAAAAAGACAAAGAAGCAAACAAAAATAACGCATATTTACTTTGAACATGTAAAGAAAGCACAATGAAGCACGTTTTCTTACTATCCAGAATGAGCCCTTGTTAACTTTTCAGTTTCTATCCAACTTCTGTATGTTTAATTGAATAAAATCTGGATTGTACAGAACATCTTGTTGTGTCATTTGTTTCCTTCTTCCCCTTTATGCCATAAGATTTCTACATGTCATTAAATACGCATCCAAACAGTTTTTAATAAGTCACACAAAATCGTAACATATGGGTATACTCACAATTTATCATCACTATTAAAATGCTACTATGAAAATCCTTGTACCAGAGGGTGGGGACAAGGGGAAAACTGTCTACCTAGAATGTACCAATAAATTAAATTAAAAAAAAAGAAAATCCTTGTACCTACCTCTTGCATATATCTGAGTATTTATTTATGCTAAATGTGAAATATCAGAATATGCTCCAAACTGCCTTCCACAAAGTCTGTTCCACTGAAAATGTACAAATGAATCCTGTCCCACACCCCTGGCAACACCAGCACTGTCACTTTTCTCCTTTCACCTGAGGATTTTAAACACAAATACAGCACCATTGCTCCCACTCTGCTTTGTGCTCATCTTCCTAGAATCTTTAACCATTTCACTGCTCCGTATCAAAAGAACTGGTAGTGGTTTTGCTCTCTCTAGCTTCTACCTGCTCCTGGGATTTGGTGAAGGCAAGGTGCAGAGGCTTCTGGACCTGGGTAGAGGCTCCAAAAAGGAGCTGTGCTATACCAGTGGAATTCTGTCAATATTTTCCCTAGATTATTTGGAAGGGTGAGCTACACACAGAACTTCCAGACTGCAAATATCTACTTACCAACTGCCAAGAATGGTGCATATTTTCAAATATGCAATGTAAACTAGTATTTTCAAATATGTATTTTTTACCTTTTATTCTCAAACCTGGCTTACACTGACCAAGTTTTGGGTTTGCTGCCTCACTTGGACTAATCTTTTTTACTTTCCCCATAGACACAAGAATTAAATGGTGTCCCTTGTCAGGAGACTAATGAACCTTGCAGAGTTGCATGCAAAATACTTTACATATGTACAATTGTGAGTATTTTGGGGGAGAGAATTCAAAGTTTTCATCTTGTTCTAAAGGAGTCCAAGAAAAGATTAAGGATTTTTTTTTTTTTTTTCCCAGTACGGGGATTGTACTTGGGACCTTGCACTTGCAAGGCAGGCGGCAGCACCACTGAGCTAAATCCCTGGCCCTAAGGATCTCTGATATACGAAAAAAAATTAGGGGATTATAACTGCAATGTGTACCGAGGCCAGGCAAGAGATGTAAGTGGACAAGGTATTAGTCAAGAGGGATGGTGAAGCCAGGCGTGGTGGTGCACGTCTGTAATCCCAGCACTCAGGAGGCAGAGGCAGGAGGATCGCCGTGAGTTTGAGGCCACCCTGGGCTACACAGTGAGTTCAAAGCCAGGATGAACTATGAGACCCTGTCTCACAAAATTAAAATAGAAAATAAGGAGTTGGGGGCTGAGGCATCCTCAAGTGCATTTACTCCAACAAAGAAGAGTAGCTGTCTCTTGCTGATCACTGGAGCAACAGTGCATGGGGACATGGGTCCAATGCTTCCAGATTTTAGTCTTTTTTCAGAGAAATCCAGAAATATTCCAAATTTTACATGTTTAAGATCACTGAAAGCTAAACAAATAAACATTATACAATACAAGAAATGAGTCTGCTGCTTTTTCCCTCAGCCTGCTAGGCTTCAAAGCAGTCAGGCATTTCAAAACTTAGTAAAATGGATAAATAAAAACACTTAAATGCTTTCTTTAGGTTTCCAATAAGCCAAGTAAACCAAGACTAAAAATGAATTTCCTGGGCTGGAGGTGTAATTTAGTGGCAGAACATTTGTCTAGCAAGCACAAGGCCCTGGGTTTAATTCTCTCAGCACCACTCAAACCAAAAACAGGAGCAGCAGCAGCAGCAGCAACAACAACAACAATAGAGCTCCCACGGGACTCCAGTCTGATTGGCACTTGGCACTTGGGAAGGTCAATGGCCAAATATGAAAGCTCCGCAGACCAAGCAGCTACGGACCATAGTAGATCCTGATAGCCTCCGCTCTTCCCTGGCCAATGTCTAGAACTTCATAAAGATGAGGCCTTTTCTGAAATAGTGGAGAAAAGCATTCGAGAAGGTGGCATGTCAGAACCTCTACTCACATGGTTACATAAAACTTCAACTTTCAAGCTGACAGCACTGTGACTAATGACACACCACATTTTACCAATTGCCAGAATTAAGCTATTTACAAGACACAATGGAATGTGTGCAGCAGCATACCATACTCAGAGGAATGACATTTTTGCAACCAAATTAATCTCTACACAAGGGAGCTCGCTCCTTGAAGGAGCTTTGCAATACAACAATAAGAGAAAAATCATTTTCAAATTCAACTAAGTCACAAGTTCCTATTTAAACATACTGGCCTTTTAAAATATGGTTCAAATATCCAATCACACCTTTCCCACGGCTTTTGGCCTCTGGCCCTGTGGCGAATTTGCAAGGCAGGTATGTAGCAAGTGCGGAGTTCTGTGGAGGAGTGGAAGTGGGTGAGAACCAGGAGCAAAGGGACCTGAAGGCAGCTGCCAAATGTGTAGTGGGAAGGACAGCTGGAACTAGCAACGAATGAATGAACTGCTGAAAACAGGAACAAAACTGACGACCAGTTTTTTCTGCGGACTGTAGATGACCTTTCAGTAACCACATAGGCCTTTTTCTCCCTTCTATGTCTTAGAAAGAGCTTTATTTCTGACATATTTGAAAATGGTATTTCCCTCCTGAGACACTGTATGCTGCACAAGTGAAGACTTGAGCTATGGTAGACGGTGATGTAAGCAAAGAGCAATACCACTTTGAGAATACTGAACTCTTTCTACCCAACCAAACATACACATTCCACGTGAGGAAACTGCGTGCGTGCGTGTGTGTGTGTGTGTGTGTGTGCGCACGCGCGTGTGTGTGTGTGTGTGTGGTGTGATGCATCTAATTCCATTTTCCCCATAATTAGAAAAGAGTGATATAGGTTCTTCTGGACGCTTTAATAGTCAGAGAGAATATCAAGGTACCTGTTATCATGCTGGATATAATTAATGGCAAAATGATGAGTTTCAGCATCCTCATTAGAATTTCTCCAGGAAAAGCAAAGTAAAATTTCTCTAGATTTGAGAGCTGGCTGTATTCTCGAACCAAGATTCCTATGACAATGCCTAAGGAAAACAAAGAAAAAAGAGAAATGTTGGGGTTTGCTGATGCAAAAATATGAAAAATCTGTAAATTTTAGGCAGGTGTGGCACCACTGAGCTAAATCCCTGGCTCTGAAGAACCTGTAAATTTTAATGGCAAGAGAAACAGCTTAGATCCATTCCCCAGTGAGCATGTAAAATTTAGACTTAACCTCCACTATTTAAAGATTACACATTAGTCAGTAAATCTGTAAGAAAAAAAAAATCTTCACATGAAAGTTTTTGTTCTCATTTCTTCCTTATAACCTATTTATCATAAAGAAAAACATGAAAGAACACTGTGGGGAAAATAATTCATTATCTTAATCAATTGATTGGAGCTACTTCATTTTGACACACCACTTTACTGAGTAACTGTGTTCTCAAATGCTTTGCATTCTTTCCAGTTATTTCTAGGTAATGACAAGCTCAAGTTTACCTGATCAAGAGGCTTTTTATGGAGTTTCTGATCTTGTGTTCCTCTAATTATGCGATTACAGGTGTATGTTCACTATTAAAACGTTACATTCTCTGAAATTTTGCCTTAACAAGGTGAACATATGAAATCCTCCAATTGTAAGGAGAACAAAATTTAATGATGACTCTCATAACTAAAACTCATAAAGAATTAACAGTTTATCTTTATTTCATTCCAGATAGTTCTAATGACATCCAACTATCTACCCTCCCTTCCTACAACACACACACTTTCTTTTTAACCCAGCAGTAAACGGATTGAGATGATGCTGTCATCTACGTTTCTTCATCAACTTCTGAGGCGCAACAGGCTAACTGGAAGTAAAGTGATCAACTGGCAGGAAGACTAGAGGAGGGTGTTACTGGACATGAAATTCCCAAACAATTACTTTGTGGAAATTCAGAATTTCTTAGAAACAGTAAAATATAGGGCAATGAAGAGATGTGAATTATAACCCAAACTAGAATATTAATCTAAATTCAGGTATCCCTCCTTTGCCCACTAGTAGAACAAATAGATGGGCCTCACATGACACGTGTTATGTAACAAACTCATCTTTAGCTTAATTTTATTTTCCTACATAGTCTACTTTTACTTTGATCTCTTTATTTCAGTATGTGTATCACTGGTTGCACTTCTGGTCATAAACATTTACCAAATTGTGGCTAAGACAAAACGATTCTATTATCAATCCAACTTAGTTCATTTACTAAAATCTAGTATTAGAGACTCACAAATGGTTAAGACATCAAGGATCCTTTTCCCAAGGAAGTACAAGGTTACTGGAGCCATGAGAGGTGCTGGAGATTGAACCTGGGGCCTTGTGCATGTCAAACACAGTGCCAAGGATTCAAAATATTTTAAGTGAATTTAGAAGGCACGATGTGCTCATTTTATGCCTTATTAATTGACTATATTCAGCTGTAGTAAGACATAGGGATAGTTGTAATCCTCAGGGCTTAAAAAATAAACTTTCTCATACTATTTAGTTTGCTTCAAGTACATTTTGGCCTGTTTGTCAAAGAAATCTCAGTATGCAAAAATAAAATAAAATAAAAAGTGTGTCTGTGTTAAAAAAAACCACCACAAAAGCATTCTGCTGGGTTACAACAGGAGCGCATGTGCTTAACCTTAGGGCTTATGTTACTAATAATGAACTGTGCCTCTAATTAACTCCACCAAAGTGAGTGCAGGGTGGTTAGATAGAAATAATCCTGCTATTTTCCAGTCTTCAGCCACATGTGGGGGTTTATGGCAGAAACGAAAGAGTTGTCACTCTGAGTGGTTTGGAAACAATCCAAGGTGACACCCTACGATGAAAACTGTAGGTTGTTACGTTTGGCAATTAAAACTTTCTATCAAGCTTGTTCTTGAAGTAGAGAGCCCCAAACGGCACTGCTGCATTTCTTTACTTTACTGAAAGTAAGAATAGAAATGCCAACCAAGTGCTGGAAAAGCAGCAGGGAGGATCACGGATGTCAGCCTGAAACACCTGGGCACCTGTGGTGCCTGGTGAACAACCTCATCCAGGAGCTATGCCTTTTGAATGGGTGTTTTATTTTGTCTCTGTCAAGTTTGGAAACATCAGAATCAAGACAAAGAAAATCACTGGAAGATTTTCCAGGTCCCAAGATGAGAAGAAAAACTCACAGGGCACAACCCTTCCCTGACCATTCACAGGGCTGGATAAAAGTGTGTAGAGAAAGCTTAATTCCCCATTGTGTGTGTGGGATGGGGTTGGGAGGCATGGGCCTGGTTCACCTGGTAGGGCCATTCCCAGAATGAGAGGTGAAGACCAAAAACCTCCCTGAATGGTGGGGTTCTATGGAGGCCCATGACAAGGTCAACAAGGTCAACAAATAGTCCTCAAAGATAAAGTAGTTACTTGGACACTTGAAGCCCCACCAATGGACCCAGGACACCACTTAGGAGCTTCTTTCCTCTACCCAGGCAAGATGACCCCAACTAGATAAAAAAGAACAGGGGATGAATACTGGTGTTAAGACAAGCAGGCTGAAGTTCTGGTTCTAGCACCTGAGTGTTGTGTGACCTGAGTTAGAGCTTGAACTTAACTCCCTTGTCAAACTGTGAGGAAGGGGTTAGACTGGCTGCCTTCAAAGGTCCCTCCAAATGCCCAGGATGCTGTGATCACCTTGGAACTTTGTTTTCCTCCACTTTATAAGGGATCACAGGATCTCAGCTCCAAGAAAACTGTGCATGCTTTCTCTAGCGTTTATATGAAATACAAATATGCTGGTAACAAAGAAAAGAAAGAAACACCGGAGGAAGGCAATCAAAGGGATTTTGAGGTTCAAAGATGCAAGTTAAAAAGAGATGAACAGAATGGCTTCTCCTCCTGCCCAAGCTGCCTGGAGAAACACCTGCTGGTCTCATGGCTTGGCTCAGAGGTTCTGGGGTGATTTTTTATTGCTAACTTAAAAAAATTAATGTTTGGAATGAAATATTGAAAATCTATGCAGAAAAAAAGGTACACATCATGGCATCAACCTGTCTCTTCCTCCCGTCTTGTTCAGGACCAAACTGGCTCTTGGACCCCACACTTCTTGCAGCTATGACATTAGCCTGGGGATGGCAGGTGAGTTGTATTAGACTCAGACTCATGAAAATGGCATTGTTCCTATTTGGAGGTACTTGAAGAAAAGAGATTAGAGAGAGAGAGAAAGAGTGTGTGTGTGTGTGTGTGTGTGTGTGTGTGTGTGTGTTTTCAACAGTTTTCTAGTACACAAATTAATTCTGGCTTGGTTAAATATGAATTACTGACAAAGAAAAACATATATAATTGACACTTTAGTTATCAAGCTTGCCATCATGCTAGGCATTAATTAACATATGCCATTTTGTCCTTCTGGAGCTGCTCATGATACCTTATTATGACAATGTACATACCCTGGATAGATGGCAGGATGATTTTCCTACCCTGTCTTTACACTGAAATATTACCTGTATCCTTTCCTCATCCTTTTCCTGTTCCTTAAAGATCTAAGTAGCTCCAGTGATGCAAGGTCTTTACAGGAATTTTGGCTCAAGATCCAGCTGCCTGGGTCTATAAAGCTTTTATTTATTTTATCCTTAAAAAGAACTTATTATACTAGCAATAGTAATTATAGCTCTACTGGGAATGAAAATAATTATAAAAGTTCACCCACATATTGGATGTGGCGATGCACTCCTGTAATCCCAGCACTGCAGAAGGCGGTGGACTGCTGTGAGTTCCAGGATAGCCTGAATTACACAGCAAGACTGTATCTCAAAAACAAAAAGTTCACTCACAAACTAACTCAGATATATGGAACATTGATTGTTATTTTTATATACATTGCAATTAGGCATAATATACTGGTTAACAATAGTGACAATTCAACACGTTAAATAAATACCTCTTATACACTTTTTTTTTGGTACTGGGGATCGAACTCGGTCCCCTGCACTTGCGAGGCAGGCGGCGAAATCACTGAGCCAAATCCCAGGCAATAAACACCTCTTCTACATAATGTCTTGTAAATTTTCTTCATTTTTTGAGATAAAACAGTGCAAACTACATTTCCTGTTGAAAGTACAGTCATTCATAAAGGAAAACATTTATTATTGCAATAATAAAGAAAACCTGTATTATTGTGACCTGTCCCTTTTAAAGCCTCCAGCATTCAATATAGTGCTTGGCACATGTTCATTTGGTATTGCTTTTAGATATTACAAAGAATGTGTCTAACGTACTTTCTTCCCTTAAACTGCTTACCTTGAGTCATCTCTCCTTTGTGTACACACTCTACAGTTCATTCAGTCTGACTGAAGAAGAAAGTTGATCTTATCAAGGGTCCAGTGGGTTTCTCTGGCACAGAGACTGGCCCGTAGGATAACTGGCTGACCTGGCGCATTACTGAAACTGGACCAGCATCTCTGTGCCCAGGAAGAGAGATGCCCACCCCTCCTGAAGCAGCTCCTGAAACAACGGTTATACTTTTATTCTGCATCATTACCACAATGGGTACCCTCAGTTATCCTTTCAACCCCTTACACATTAGTGGGCCATCCTGGAGGAGTCTGCTGCTATTTTTGTTACGTGAACTTTGAAGCAATTTCTGTGGACCTTCTGTGGGAATGCTGTCTAAAATAATAGCACAGTTCTGGGATGCTTCTGTGCACAGATAATTTGGTTTGTAAACAAAAGTGGCAAGTTTTTGTTTCCATTCACAAACTTTGCATTGAGAGACAAACACGACCACAGCCATCTTCTCCACAAAAGCACAAACACAGCCATCTTCCCCCAAATCGTGAAACAAGTTAAATTCATAAACCAAGGTGCCCCTGTACATTATGGTGTGATACATATTACAGTTATAGAAAATGTCCAGCCTAGGCAAATCTATAAAGAAAGAATTACTAGTTGTCATGAGTGGAAGTGAGAGATGGAGACTGACTGCTCATATGGACAGGATTTCTTTCGGGGACATGATTGGAAATGTTCTGAAATTAGATACAGTAACGG